GGGGGGGGGCTATATTCATCTTTGAAAAGTAAGGTTGGTGAGTCAATGTCATTACCTATAGTAGCATGACCCAGTTAGATATCGTAAATAGACTTAGTATGATTTTAAAGCATTCAGTTTGGTTCACATGGCCACAATCATCTTGGTTCGAAGCCGGTATGTCTCTCACAGCTAGTATGAGATATACTATATAGAGTATGGGTTATACTGTCAGAGGAGGCTGGTACATGTGATAACTGCAATTGATAGAACGAATACAATCTATAATGAAAAAGAACCCATCATATAATAAAATTATAATAAAGAATACAGAATATAAAAACGACCGCGTGCCATATGCCTATACGTTACAATCACACATATATGCTATATTGATATGGGTCACAACACACATAAACATACACTGTGTGTTGTCACCCATATCAGTATAGCATATGTGTGATTGTAACGTGACCCTGTGCCTCATATAACGGAAATAACCACATTTCATTCTAAACATCAGTTTAAATTCTGTTGCCAGGTCCCTGTGTTCTTAGTCCTACTGTTTTATTTCAGGACTCGTGTCCCTGTGATTTCATTCTTGTTGTTCAATCACTTACGCTGATGTTTTTCTGTTATCATCCATAGTAATTTAGACCATAATAGGAAATAACGAAATAGAAGAAGTCATGACGAATCTTACCTGCTACTACATAACTTAGAATCCTAGAATCCACGTGGAATTGTTTATGTTTAAACGTAGAGAGTGATACAAGGGAAGCAACTGCAGCTTTAGTTTGGTGTCAACACATCATCGGTCTTTTTTTAATTATTATTTTAATACATAAGAACCACATTTCAGTCTTCGAAATCTTTCCCTATATGAGGTAACATGCACCGCCAGATCATGCTTTTGTTATCTTATTTGTTTGTCGACCGTTATGAACTTGTTTTTTTTTATGATTGTAGCTTAGAATTCATTTTCCTAGTGCTCCTTGCAATGTTATCCGTTACTTCATTTTTTACTTTGTTTGTCCAAATACAATAGTAGGCTCCTATACGAGCTTATGTTCCTGTTAACCATGTTCTACGCTGAATAAAGACGTGTATCTGGTAAATGTAATTTTTGACATCTTTAGTTTCAGAAGACTTAACGTCATAATATTTATTTATCCAGAAGATAACTGGGATTGAGTGCTATCGGGAGTCTTCGAATAAATCGCATTCAAAATCAGTTGTCAAATATATTAAAATCTTCAAATGAATTCTTCTCAAGGTCCAGAATGGTGATAATATTTAATCAGGAGATAACGGAGAGAAAGGGCCTTTCAAGTTGCTCAAATAGATAACACAGGCATTAACATTCATTCATGGTCACAGAGATCGAACCTTTTTTTGGAATAAACCTCAAACTTTAAGCACTTGGGTTTAATGCAGGAGACCTATGTTGTGAACCAAAGCGCATCTTTTTTGCTAATTAAGTCACTTGTGTATTCCGAAATAGGTGTAACTATATATATTTATCTCCTTTTTAAATGTTATTTCGGACTATGTGTGTAACTCGGATGACCGGTTGTGAATGTTTTCGACTTCTCAGAATGTTTTTAGGGGAATACATGTACGGTGAAATTTGATGGTAATTGGCAAGCCAAGTTGTCTTTTATTCATGGAGCAATGTTGATCCAGTACATAAAAGATATCTTATATAATATATAAGATATCTTATAAAGAAAGTTAATTGAAATACCTTATAAAGAACGAGACTCTCGCGAGACTGACAAGGAAAAAATGTTTGAAAATGACTGCTCCCGTTGTAAGGTCACATCCGTTTTCGTTGACGATAATTTGGTTAAGTATTGGATCAAAATTGCTCCATGAATAAATGACTACTTGGCTTGCCATAGTTATAGTAGTCTCAATTTGATAACTGGTCCCATTGTCATCGGCAGCCATTTTTGATGAAATCCTCTCGGACCCCCTCGGTTAACGATAGATTCCGATATGGCAAGCCAAATTGTCATTTATACATGGAGCAATTTTGATCCAGTAATTAACCAAATTATGTAAGATATCATATATACTTTATGAGATATTTTATATACTTTATAAGATAGCATACATAATAAATGAGATATCTTATATACTTTTCTTTATAAGATAAATCATAAAAGATATCAGATATCTTATAAAAATTTTTTTTTTATCTTTTATAAGATATCTTATATCTTTTATACGATATCTTATATAATATATGAGATATCTTATATAAGAAATGAGACATCTTATATAATATATGAGATATCTTATAAAGAAAAGTATATAAGATATCTCATAAAGTATATAAGATATCTCATAAAGTATATAAGATATCTTATATAATTTGGTTAAATACTGGATCAACATTGCTCCATTAATAAATGACAACTTGGCTTTGACAAATCGCTCCACCAACTAAGAACGGCCATGCACCACCACCCACCGAATTAGTTACCTTTCTTGGGGCGCCAGTGGAACTGGAGAAGAAGTTTAAAAAGTATTTTTCAAGATGGCGGCCATCTTTGATTTTAGACCGACCCGAAAAATAACAACACCTGGTCAGGACCATCTCAGGCAAGTTTCAGCTTAATTCCACTGGTGGAACTACAGAAGAAGTTTAAAATAGGTGTTGTTTAGGAAAACCATGATTGCGCAATCATGTTACAATATGGCCGCCATTACTGCCATGTTGAAGTTTTGACGTGGCTGAAAAATAACAACACTTTGTCGGCTTCATTTCTTAACATCCCCAACAATTTTTGGCTCAATGACATCAGTGGAACTTGAGAAGAATTTTAAAATGTGTTTTTCAAGATGGCGGTCATGGCGGCCATCTTGGATTTTGGACCGACCCGAAAAATAACAATACTTGGTCAGGACCATTTCAGGATCATTTCAGATCAATAACTCACTGGTGGAATTTGAGAAGAAGTTTAAAATGTTGAAAGTTTAAAACCATTGGACTGCCGTCGTTTTATTGATATCAAAAACCATTGGACTGTCGTCGTTTTATTAATGTCAAAAACCATTGGACTGCCGTCGTTTTATTAATGTTAAAAACCATTGGACTGCCGTCGTTTTATTAATGTTAAAAACCATTGCTGTCGTTTTATTGATGTCAAAACCGATTGGACTGTCGTCGTTTTCAGATGCCCAAAATTACCCGCTCCCTTGTTGGCGCAAATATGAATCTCTTTCACCGAGGATACCTTCTTAAAATTTGGTTAAACTCTGTCTAGTCGTTGCTGAGAAGTAGGTTAAACAACAAGATGGTCAGGGGACTTGAAGACGCTCACATGCATTATGCGGCCTTTCTATACACTTCCTAACACTACATCAAAGCAATGTGGCTAAATACCATGCGACTTGGTCTTTTGGTTCTGAAAAAGTCGTATGTGTTTGAGAAATTTTGACCCATATGACTTTGATTCCACACTTCCATATTTGGTCACTGAGTGACCACGTGAGATGACACAGTCGTGCGAGTGGTCAGTACATAGTCATTTTTCGAAGCGAGTGGACGTACGTGCAAAATATATGAGGAAAACCACAGTTATATATCGTTTGTGGAACTTTTATATGAACACCTACAGGAAACGTAGCGAGTAAATACTGACGTATTTTGGGAAAAACTATTTTCATTCCATGAACTTGTGAACTTTTGAGTTTTTTACACACACGATCGGGCCTTAGTGCCAATAATAGAAACGATCAGGCCTGAGTGCCAATAACTTAGGCCTGAGTGCCACAAAGTGAACCCGGAGAGCCACTGTGTATGCAATCTAATTAAAATTATATCTTCACATCGCTCCCGTTTACTGATATGTCGCGTTGAAGATCTAACAACATCCCGTAGAGGGTCATGTTCAGGCGACCTTTGCATTAACCAATCAGATGAGAGCTTACGCATTTCTGTAAGTGATGATGTAATGATTTCGGAACACACTTGCTATGATAAAAGACCGAGAGGTGTCAAATGAGCATCGAAAATGGCGGCGCCCATGACACCACGCCGTGTCTATCTACAAGACAACATTTGTACAATTTGTGGATTTTGCTTTGAAATAAGAGAGACTTCCTCTTCTGGTGATGTTGTCGTTAAAAGTTTAACAACCTGAAACTAAAATTAACCAATGACAGGCTTCGCAATATTCAAACTATCACTGGACCAGACGAAAAAGTGGATTTTGGGCTACGAGGTGTCTGCATTAAATGCTACAGGTCCTGCTTTCTTATTGGTTGAAAGAAAGAGTTATGTCGCGTTTTGATTGGCTTGTTATAAATACGATAATACATTCATGTTGACCTCTGACGTGACCCTCTATGGCATGTTGTTAGATCTTCAACGCGACATATCAGTAAACGGGAGCGATGTGAAGATATCATTTTAATTAGATTGCTGTGTATGTGATAACACGTTTTTATGGGAAACATGTGTGGAGGACATGACCTCTGAACGAAGAACTATATCGTCAAAAGTTGCCCTGCACAGCTAAGGACCAAGAGGAACCTACATATAAAATTTGAGAAAGATCCCTCAAGTACTTCTTGAGAAATAGCGATAACAAACTTTCAATATCAAAATCCAAGATGGCTGCCTTTCGGCCATGTTGTTTATCCGATCAGTCTCAAAAGTTGCCCTGCACAGCTAAGGACCAAGGGGAACCTAAATATAAAATTTGAGAAAAATCCCACTAGTACTTCTTGAGAAATACTGATAACAAACTTTCACTATCACGATCAGTCTGAAAAGTTGCCCTGCACAGCTAAGGACCAAGGGGAACCTACATATAAAATTTGAGAAAGATCCCTCAAGTACTTCTTGAGAAATAGCGATAACAAACTTTCAATATCAAAATCCAAGATGGCTGCCTGTCGGCCATGTTGTTTATCCGGTCAGTCTCAAAATTGCCCTGCACAGCTAAGGACCAAGGGGAACCTACATATAAAATTTGAGAAAGATCCCTCTGGTACTTCTGCAGAAATAGCGATAACAAACTTTCAATATCAAAATCCAAGATGGCTGCCTGTCGGCCATGTTGTTTATCCGGTCAGTCTCAAAATTGCCCTGCACAGCTAAGGACCAAGGGGAACCTAAATATAAAATCTGAGAAAATCCCCACTAGTACTGTTTGAGAAATACTGATAACAAACTTTCACTATCAAAATCAGAAGATCTGTTTAGTTCTTCTTTTAATCCATTTTGTTTTTATGATCAGTCTCAAAATATAACAGGCACAACGTGGGATCAAGGGGAACCTACATATCAAATTTGAGAAAGATCCCTCTGATACTTCTTGAGAAATACTGATAACAAACTTGCACTATCAAAATCAGAAGATCTGTTTAGTTCTTTTAATCCATTTTGTTTTTATGATCAGTCTCAAAATATAACATGCACAACGTGGGATCAAGGGGAACCTACATATTAAATTTGAGAAAGATCCCTCTGATACTTCTTGAGAAATACTGACAACAAGAATTGTTTAAGGACGAACGGACCACGAACGCAGGGAGATTTGAATAGCCCACCAATGGGCTAAAAATAGGGAAATTTGGTTCATAAATAGTTACTAGGCTTATTTAGTAAATTTGACCCCTGTGACTTTGAATATGAGTGAAAGTCCTTTTACAAACTTTGTAACACTACAAGACAGTAGTTCTTATGAAAACTTTTTAATGAATTCAACATCTGTCAAATTGAGTCAAGCTATTTTCCAATTTTTGTAGCACTTATTGTGTCCGTATGTCATTTACTTTAGGTCCTTTGTACCTTTTGAGAAGCCTAATTTGAACCCGAAGCTTAAACTAGCTGGCTAAAAGGTCATTTTCTATGTACAACTTATTCTCCATACCATTAAGTTACTGGTCTTATATCACGACTTTCGGCTTTTCAAATCTTTGAAGAGACAGCTTCTTTCCTTTTGCAAATTTGAATTGCTGGACATAAAGGTTTTCAGCCTTCATCCATTAAACTTCCTGGGATACTTTGTAGTTGTTTTAGACTGGCCCCCGTCTCTAGAATATTGAATTATTTAGAAATTAGAAAATTTCTGTAAGACATAAATGCTGCCACTGCCATGTGAAATTAGTTTCTGTGTTCTATAAAAAGTTACAACCACTTTGATCTCGATACCCCGAAACATGCACACACACAAGGTACTACACTTAAAGCTGATAAGTTGATTTTAAAATTCATATTCTGTATGTTATTACCATCCTGAAACACAAGGATGTCAGGTATACCCATACTTGACCTTTATATAAAGTTTGACCAAAATAGTCTAGGAGATATCGTTTAAAGGTAAACGTCAAATTTACCCCTTTTGGCCCCTGGGGTCAGGGAATTCATTTGTACAATCTTGAATCCCCTCCCCCTAAGGATGCTTCCTGCCATATTTGGTTGAAATCTTCCAAGTAGTTTTAAAAGAACTAGCACTTACCCTAAAACTTTAACCAATTCCAAAAGACTTGTGTTTTGGACCAATAATGAGTATATAGGGTCCAATTTGTGGCTAATGATCCTCCAAGCAATGGCGGTAACCATATTACAATGTAAATTTAATCAAAAATTGAGTTAAACACCAAAACATAACACTTGCCCAAAAACTTCAACCAAGTGAGACGCTGACGCCTTAAGTGCTGCTATAGACTCCCCCCCCCCCCCCCCCCCCCATTTCTTTGAATCGACAAGCTAAAAGGTTTACAGACAGATGATGGACATAACAGATTGCAATTGCTCACTATAAGTATAAGGACGACAGACATTGGACCAGAATGCATAGTTTCACTTGGCTGGCTCTGGGAGCCAAGTGGTTAATAGTTGACACGAGACGTACAAACTGATGCTGCACCATCCCACAAGCTCCCTTAGCCCTTCTGACCAGATGAACTATAAATAAATGAAGTCAGTTTTACATATCAATTACTTTACTTGTTCACAATGTACACAATATTTCATCTATTCTTCATATATTTATACATCAATATTCATTAACACTGTTAAAAACTGTACAACAAATTATAAATGATAAAATGAAAACCACCATATTCAATCAATGAAACACTTGTACACTATAAAAATTAATAATTTCCGATCCTGGATAAAACACTATAAAATTACTTCTCACCACACTATCATAACATCTTCACATAATCTGTTCTGTAAACTTGTCTGCAAATTCAAGATCACAAAAAACAAGAGGCCCAATGGGCCTGTATCGCTCACCTGTTATTAATCTAACACTTGTAATCTTAAGATTTCATAAGAACCTATCAAAAGATTTAAACATATGACGCCTCTGACCTAGATTGTCGAACAAGGACATTAGGTTGAAAGTGGATCAAGGTCATTCATTTGAACTAACATGGTAATCCTTCATCCCAGCATGCTACAGGCCCAATTTCAGTACCCTGGCCCTTTTGCTTATTGAAAAGAAGTCGCTTGAAGATTTTACGACATTTGACCCCTGTGACCTTGAAAGTTGGTCAAGGTCATTCAGTTGAACAAACTTGATAGTCCTTCATCCCAGCATGCTACAGGCCCAATATCAGTACCCTGGGCCTTTTGGTTATTGAGAAGAAGT